CACCCAGCTGCCTACACTTACCCTTGCCACTAATCTCCACTCCCTCTGTAGAGAGTGTAAGTGTAGGTACAATGGACCAGCAGGTTCCACAGCAGAGGGAAACAGTGCAGAGGAGATGGGCAGGACAACCCAGTACTGTGCCACCAATCTCCGGTGCCAGATTGGACCCCTACAGGATGCATCTGGCCCCTTGTTCTAAATATAAACTTGATATACAAGATCCAGTTCACAGAATTAAAACAAAAAAAAAAAAGAAAAAAAAGAAAACATTAGAAGCCTTATCTCATTAGGAACACTGTGCCACTTCCATAGCAAAGTGCTTCCATTGAAAGCGTAAAATGCTGCCAAAGGATAATTGTTTGGCTTTTAACAGGAATGGTTGCATATACCGAAAAGGATAGGTTTTTATCATTTTTAGATGGATTTCTCCCCTGCTTTCCTCATCCTTATGCATTAAGCAACTGATCCGTGCACTGTGGGAGCTTATCTGTTCTGAAGCATAGAACATAAGCAACAACTAGAAGCAGCATACTAAATTTAGCAAGTGACCATGCTACTAGAAGGACCTACATGCATTCAGCATAAAGGCAAAGACACAAGGCAAAATATTCAAACAGAAAACGTGATGTATTCCACACTCACCTGTGTGTAGAACCCACTAGCTGCCTCTAGGAACAAAGAAAGGTTTGCCTGAACTTCACTCCGGTTTGGATTTGCTCGGTTTTTTGCCTGACCCTGTAGTGTTGTGATCTGATTCTTAAAGGCATGATTCCAGCTGTGAACAAAGCACAGTTTTATTTGTTCCAACAGCGACTCACAGGCAGAAGCAAGTGTTGTACACAACGGGAAAGAACTGTTTAATTACAGTGTGCTAGGGACAGAAGCCACAGTGCTCTACTTAAACTCTAGTGCCTTACTTGTTCTGCCTATTGTTAAAATGGAACATGTGGTAGAAACAAGTCAAATACATGTAGACATGCATCCTTTTCCAACATTTCTCAGCTGTTGCAACCCTTCCACCCAAATGTTGAAGGGCAAAACCTAAGTGGAGAGGATGAAGCCCAGCATGACTTTCCTGTGGATCCTAAAAGAAGGTTGTGCTGAATGCCTCAAGTAAGATAACACACCAACGTACACTATCCCTAATCTCTGGTAGAGAATCTTTGCCCTTAAGAGAATAGTATGTGTTGATAAGTCTGGTGATACTTTATCACCACCCTCCTAGATGCCAAGGATGGTGGTGTTAGTGGTACTTCTTTTCTGTCCTACCTTTCCTTGATGGTAAAAGGTGAAAATAAGTCTCTTCCCCCTCTCCCTTCAAACTCGCAACTGATGGGAGCACACTAACATCATCCTTGCCCACACTGCAGGAGAATCTTGGTCAATGATCCTTGCCTCTGCTGCAGGGAGAGTGCTAGTAACAGGACTGCTTTTAGGTTATGAATAAGTATCCTGCTCATGTGCTTTAGAGGGAGGAGAGTATGTTGAACTCTCAGACATAAGCAGCATTGTCCATTTGTAATTGAAAGCTGACATTAGCGAGCAGGAAAGAGTGTTTAAGACTGGCTCAGTATCTACTATTTTGAGCTCTCTCTTCATACAAGGGTCTCAGCTGGAGCTAGATTTCACACACTGAGCTCATGGGAGCTGCCTTTTAATTTTTGAGGCTAAGTGCCCAAAGCCTTTTCCATGACAAAAGCAAATGTCAGAGCTACCACAGAGCAGCTCCAGAGGGAAAAAACTGATTGTTCACTTGTCTGACTAAAACACCTGACTTGCAGGTTAAACGGTCAAACATTTGGGGGGGGGGGGG